ATGTCTTTATGAGCTTTTAAATATCTTCATTAATTAATTATGCAGGTTTTAAAGCTCTTCTTATTGGTCCTCTAGGAAAAGAGTCGCGATGTTGTTTTCCAACTTCACAATTCTCACGTACTTCATTTACATCTTTAATCATGGGTAAACCATCAACATAATCTTGTTTAGAAATTAAATTCAATTTTTCATACTTGAATGACTATATCTATGATGCCGAAGCCAGTTATCACCAGTCAATATTACCTTCATAACATGTTTTTCATTAGAGCTGAAAATATATGAAAAAATCTTATTTTTTGCCATGGATACATTTGTAAACAAAATTTTTTTTAACTTACTTTTAAACATTTTTAAACACATAGCAAGTAGAATTCTAAAAAATAAGTGAATAGCCATCCAATAAAAGTTGTCCCACACTCAACAAACTTAATCCAAATCGGGAACATACAACACATTTTAAATATAATTCAAGTCAAAATAGTTCAACATAATATTAATTTTTTCCTTATGTTATGTGTATCATTACATTGCCCATAGTAATCTGTTTGATCACTAACTTATCTAGTTTAATAAAAAATTTTAAATCACTTGTCATGTAATTACCATAACTACTGTCAATGTACCAAATCTCTAAAGAATGTTTTTTGGCTTAAAAGCATGTAAGGAAAAGATTTTCAGTCTCATCCTCCTTTTTCGCTTGAGCTAAGTTGGCTTGTTTCTCCTTAATCCTACAAGATCTCTTAATATGTCCATACTTTTTGCAGTAATAACACTCTTTTCATTACCAATTCTCATATTCATCATTTTTTCTTGGCAACTGGTTATATCCATTTGATCAACTACCACTTTTACTTCCTTTTTTTCTCATGCGAGTTATGTCCACACCACTTGTTAGAGATGTTTTATTGCTTGATTCATCAGCACATTTTTCGCCTTACAATAGCTATATTTTTCTATAAAAAACATTCTCGACAGAAACATTATTATATCTCTTTATCCTATCTTTAATGAAAGTAAAGAGAACCCTACAGCACATTAATGGTTAGTATTCTCAAGTTTTATCACTCTTTAATTGCAGCCACAACATGATCATTTTTCTTAGGTAAACTCCTAAAAATTTTTAACAACTTGTTGTTCACTCAAGTTTTCATCACATTTTTTAATTTGATTAACAACATTAGTTATGTAGGAAATATATTCCAACAAGCTATCATAATCTTTCATTAGTGAGCTTTCAAATTTCCTACGAAGAGTTTAAAGTTTAATAGTTACATTTTTTGGTGCCTCGATAGTCTTTTAATTTTTTTGCAGTAGCTTGGTTAATCTATGATTCAGAATTAATTGTGTAAATTAGAACAGAAGAATTCATAGGTACAACGATTAAATTGATGGCTTTAAATTATTCTGTTTAGACGTCTAAGATGGAGGATCTTTTTTACTGTATAGATCTAGATGATCCTATTAAATTATGAAATATCAAGTCATGTCGGAGATAAGAGGATGATTGAGAGAAAATTCATACAAAATTTGTTAGAATTATTTGGCAGTAGGTGGGTATCAGTGTCTACCACCACGTAAGCAAATAGTTTAACTCACAAAACTTGTGCATTCAAGATCTCTATGATGAAACTGAGGATATCACTAACTTCGACATAAATAATTTTGTTTTGTCTTTTCCTTGATAGTGAAACTATAAATTTTTATAAACCCATGAAAGATGTAAGATGGAGACAAACCATGGAGGAAGAAATCAAATTCGTAGAAAAGAACGACCCGTGGGAGCTATCAACTCTTCCTAAGGGACACAAATTTGTTGGTGTGAAATGGGTCCAGAAGATAAAGAATGACTCTCAAGGAAAGGTGAAAAAGTACAATGAAAAACTTGTGGCTAAAAAATACAAACAAAAGCATGGAATTGATTATGATGCAGTTTTTATACCAGTTGCTTGTAAGGAAATTATTCGCTTACTATTAGTTATTCCAAGTCAAAGGAAGTAGAAACTTTTTCAACTTGATGTGAAGTTGGCATTTCACAATGGTTATTTTAATAAGGAAGTTTATGTTGAGACAACCATTCGGTTTTTGTTGTTGAAATGCATGAAAAGAGAGTGATGAAATTGAAGAAAGCTTTGTATGGCTAAAGCAAGCACCAAGGGCATGGAACAACCATATAAATGAGTATCTTATTGAGAATGGGTTTGTTTGTTGCCTTTATGAATATACTCTTTCTGTGAAGTATCAAGCTAATAGTGACATTTTATTTGTATCTCTATATGTGGGTGATCTCATCTTCCCTAGTAACAACCCAAGCTTGTTTGAAGAATTTAATAAAACTATATTACTTGAATTTCAAATGACTGATATTGTACTCGTGTCTTACTATAGGAAGTTTGAGAAATTTGACTTTTACAAGACTTGATATTTTTTTTGCAGTTGGACTAATAAATCATTTTATTAAAACTCCTACCACCTTCAACACAAATGTTGCTAAAAGAATTCTACTTTATCTTAAAGGTATTGTTGATTTTGAGTTATCTTATTCATCATCTAATGATTTCAAGCTTGTGTGGTGTTGATGACAAAAAAAATACAATTGGCTTTATATTTTTTGTGGGTAATTGTGTAATTACATGGAGTTCTAAGAAGTAAGTCATTATTACATTGTCAAATTGTGAATCTGAATATGGAGGGATAACATCTTGCGTTTATCATGCCATATGACTGAAAAAGCTTATGAAGAAACTTCATTTGACATAAGACAAAGCTATTGAAGTTTTTATTGACAATAAGTCTGCACCAACATTAGACAAGAATCTGGTGTTTCACGAATGAAGCAATCACATAGATACAAGGTATCATTTCATAAGGGATTACATTATCAAAAAGAAAGTTAAGCTCAATTACATGAAAACTCCATATTAAGTTGCGATATTTTCACCAAACTACTCAAATTTGAAGTTTTTCAAATATTACGTGCTAATCTTGGAGTGAAAAAGAGATTTACAAATTTAGGAAGGAGGAAGGGTTTTAGAAATAATAATTTGCAAGTTAAATATGTGTCTTTTAGTTTTGTAAGTGATTGTAGTTCATAAATTAGAGTTATCATGTGGCGATTGTGAGTTAAGTGGTTATAGTATATAAACTGAAATTATTATATTTGTTGATAGTTAGAATTAATTATTTAGAATTTTAAGAATTGTAATAGTGTCTACAAATATACATATACTACAAGATTCCAACAACTACAGTAGAAAAACTTGTCTCTTCCTCCCATCTCTAACATTTTGTTGCCCTTATATTAAATTTTCTCTGTGTATGCATTGTGTAAGATGTTATTAGCCTACACACATGATATTATGTTGTATATCTGGGGTCATATTTTGGGTCGGTCCTTTTTAGTTTAGGTTTGTGACCCTTGTTTAGATTTTTTTTAGGTGCCGGTTTTGATTGTGTATTTGACTATATTTGACTACTTATAATGATGTATATTGACATATAATTCCTTTCAAAAAAAAAAAAAAAGATATGCAACATCATGTAAAAGACAAAAAAATACAAAACTTGGCATTTATCGTAAAAGATTAATATGAAAAGATCTTTACAAAAAATAAAAAATAAAGATGTATGAATGTGAAATTGGACAAATCTCTAATTGGGTGATGTATATCAGTTCACGGATTGCTAATAAAGTTTTGCCCTTTAAAAAACAAATCTACAACATGCTAAAAGACAAGGGACTACCAAACTTGGATAAATCTCCAATTGATCAAAACAAAGATATATGAATGTGAAATTGGATAAATCTCCAATTGGGCAGTAAGTAAGAAGAAACCACATCAAGTCACCGTTTTGATTTTCCAATGATTTTTTGTATTTTGGCGCACGTGAATGCCTAATTTTCAGAGCAATCCAACCCACCGAGGTCGGAGAAGACACCGGCAGACTTTACCTTTCTCTTATCTTCAGAACTGATCTTCACCTCTTTCATTTAATTATTTTATATATTTCCAGAACCTTCACCTTCCTTTTCTTTTTCCTTTCACTCAACAAGTGAGTATATATCTAAAAATCTAATATCTGATATATTTAGGTTTTTTTTTTTTCTGTTTAAATTAATGGTACCATATTTTTATTATTTTTTGTTTTTATTTATAAACAAACATATAAATATATATATATATTCAATTTCAATTAATTTTGTTTAACTCCTACTTTTGAATTCTAATTTTTTTATTTTCAAATGTACACAAATAATTTATTTTAAGTTTTCAAGTTATTAATTATATATTTTCGCTTCATCCGGTAATTTTGCAAATGGCTGACCACCTGAGCGGTGGAAGATACGAGAAGGTCGGTTTTTTTCCTTTCTCGATTCTCCCTGAAGCTTCCCTTAATCTTGAGCTTCCTGTGCCGCCTTCCGTTCTTATCTATTTCTTCTTCTCTATTACAGTCTACTCACTACTAATATATTTATCTATTAATATTTAATTCATACTATTAATATATTACTTCCCCCATGCAATATTCCTTTTTTTTTTTTTATTGCTACAGACAGCTAAGCTAGCTACAGATGACTTGTCCTCCAGATGTATATTTCTAGCTGACGTAATAATTTGTATCCGTATGTGTCTATATATATTTAAAGGTGACTATAAATACGTATACGTACTGAAGCTAAACTTATATGCGTGTAAATATATATATATATTTGCATGACATAAAGATAAACCCTAGATTACTACAAGCAGTATGACAAAACAAAAGGATACAAATTAAAAGCATCTGAGGCTGACCATCATCAGCTTCAACGCCGACAAGAGTGATCATGAAGATGGTTCAGTACCCATGCACGAATAAAAAATAGCCACTTCAACATAATACAACGCTCAAGTACACTCTCCCCTTCTCACACTCGGCTCTTTCTCTGTTCCTCTGCTGCCTCTGCATCATTACCAGTGGATTCACCTATACGAAACCGTTTACCATCACCATCGCTAATGGTGATGACGAAGATGAACAAGATGACCACCTCTCAAAAATGGCCTACCATATCCATGATGAAGAATTCCGTCTCTGAATCTTTTAGACGCAACCCTACAAACCTCAAACATATAATACCACTCGATTTTAATAATGTCAGCAATTTACCCGATTCCCATACCTGGAATTCGTCCCCACATGAACGGCGCGTAATATTGGATTTTACCCAAGAACCCGTGCCGGTGATAAACCTCGAGCACCCGCAGGCGCCAGAGCTCATACGACGTGCCTGTGAGGAGTGGGGTGTGTTCCACCTCATCAACCATGGCATCCCAATCACCCTCCTAAACGAAATGGAGAAGCAGACAAGGAGGCTGTTCGCGTTGCCGACGAAACACAAGTTGCTGGCTGTCCGATCCCCGGATGGCTTAACCGGATACGGACTGGCCCGCATATCAGCATTCTTCCAGAAGCTAATGTGGTCAGAGGGGTTCACCATAATAGGGTCGCCAGAGCAACATGCCAGCAAACTTTGGCCGCATGATCACACCCATTTCTGGTACGTACATATCATGCTTCATGCATGCATGCTATTCTTGTTGTTGCCTATGATCTCATTGGCGAACACTTCTCTTTTCAACTCTTCATTTTCACTAAAACTTATGCAAGTTGTTGGGTGGTCATGACCTCATTCACACTATGACGTCCAAGAATGAAAAAGAATCATAAACAAAAATTATGACTAAGATCCGCTCTACTTAATTATTCGTGCAATTATGAAGTGTTTCAAGAACGCAGACGATCTGACAGATTTCATAAATGTAATATATTGGCTTTAAATTTATCCTAAAAAATTATGAAAAAAATAAAAATAAAAACAGATCCAACCCTGCGTGTTTATACGCAAGGACTTTCCCGGCGCCGCTAAGCGTTATCTTGTTGCGGGCTGAAGCTACACAGTGGAGCTATGCGACCGTACGCGATGCCGGCGTTCTTGCGCATGCGACATGCAAGCGGAGTAAATGCGTTTCTTCTGGCTATTTGAAGGCTTTCCCCCGCGCTTTTCAACCTCTATTTTGACTACTGATTTTGTTTTGTTATTTCCTTTCTTCCTTAGCGTTTTCCATCTTTTGCTTTTTCCCATTAAAATGTGTTTTCTGAAACATCACAGAAGCCAAAGCTCCACTCCCATAGGCCTGCCACACTACCCTTGATTGGACCATTTTTTATAAATTTAGTGTTTGGGCGAATCGGTTAAATATGTTATTTGATATGATGTCAAATCTGCGATCCTAATATTTGTATATTAGTTCTTCCGTTTCTACTAAAAATTAATTTATCATAAAATTTAAACCTGCATTTTTAGTTTGACAAGATCCCACATGCACTGATACATAAAAATATAAATAATTAATTATATATTTTTCTATAAACTTAAACTTTTTAAAAAAGTGGTTCAATTTATTATTTAAATAAATTTATTCAACTCTATTATTTAATATATTATTAATATAAAAAATTAGTATTAAAATTTTAGTTGTTTTCTATTTCTGCTAAGTAACTTAACACAAATTAGAATTGGTCTATACTTAATGTACAAATGTAATTTAATATATAAATTTAAATGTGAGAGTATGTTTAAAATATTAACAATATATGAGACTCTTTTATTGAATTTTTTAAAAAATAAGTTTTATTTTATTATTAAATTTTAAGCTTTTAAAAATATAAATTTTGTTCTATTATTGAACAGTATATTATATAATATCTTATTTTAACTTGATATAAAACTTTTATTCCACAGTATAAAGTAGTCCAAAGTAATCAAAATTTTTGCATAGTTTTCATACATCAATTTGTAATATCATGTATTAAAGTAAAAAAAAAAATCTATAAATATTTTCATAATGTGGAGCTAGTTATTTAGTTTAATTTACTTTTTTTTAACTAGTATGAAGAACATTGGCAAAATTGCATATCATCTAGCATTGTCACTTGATTTATCAAGTATTCACAATGCCTTTTCATCTTAATGTTACGGAAATACCAATCAAATGCTTCACATATTTTTTTGTATGTACCTATTCAAATTCAAGAATATTTATTTTATGTTAAGGAACCAATAGAAAGTTTGAATTGTAAAGAACATGTATTGTAGTTACACGTGATTTTAATGATAAAAATTTTGTAATAGGATAATTCATTAGAAAAAATAACATAGGAACATGAAGAGGTTATAAAATAAAAGTATTTGCATTTGTTTATAATTTTTGATAAGTAAAATTTACAAAATCAATTTCTCAAGAGATAGAGAATATTATAATTGTAAGTGCTTGCACATTTACTATCTATACGATTTATATTGTTTAAGTAAATATTATATTTTATACATACTTTGAAGTGCTTATATTTAATTTTCTATATCTACTAGGTAAAATATCATATTTAATAATAATTTTAGTTTATTTTATAAAACTTAAGAGTTTATGACATGCTAGTATTAGATGTTATTTTTTAAGTATTCAAGAACTGTCTAACATTTTAGCTTTTTTCATAAGCTACTTGACAAGTTAAGATTGAGAGAATAATGATAAAAATATGTTTTTAGAAGGGGCATGTGAGAGAATTAGAGATTTTGAAGAGGTTTCTATATATTTTTGCTAATTTATTATTGATTTAAAATTTAACTTATAGGTGAGTAAAATTTATATACTCACGAAATTTTATAACGTATTGAGAATAAGTGAAAAATGAATTTGTTTTGTGTACTATATTTTTTTTTATAAATTTTATATAGATAATGAATATATTGTAGAAAAAAAATTTATAAGTTGAAAAGTTTACAAAATTGCTAAAAATGGCTTAATCAAAGATTTGATGTTTTATAATAAGAATATTTTGTAAAAACATAAAAAACAAAATCATCTTTTTTACATAGCTTATAAACCTTTTGTGAGAGCTTTTTTTTTAGCTTATAAACTAGGGTGTCTTTATATTTATATATATATATATATATATGTATATATAATTACTTTATAAACTATACTTTATCGATGGTATTTTGATTGCCTTATTATTTTTGTTGTTCTAATTACATTTTTATTTAAGTTTTTAGTGTTTAAATAAAAAAGAGTATCTTGAATATTTGATTTTTGTTCTTAATTTCTAGAATTTCATAAGTTGTCAATTGTTTTGTAAAAATTAAAGCTTTCAGCTGAAAAGTTAGTAGAAATTTTAAAAATAATAATAATTTCAAATAAAAAATATATATTTAGTTTCAATGAATATTTTGGTGAAATTTGGTATAGTAATAATATTATTAAATTTTAATATATAACATAGTGAATATAAACTAATAACATTAACAATTAAATCAGGCAGAAAAATGCTTTCGATGAATAATTTCAAATAAAAAATATATATTTAGTTTTGGATTAACATTTTGATCAAATTGTTCTAACAATATTAAAAGCTTTAGTTGATTTTGAAAGCTTTTATTTTATTTTATTTTATTTATAACAATTGTATCTAAAAAAAATAAATTAAACCAAACACCTTCTATACTAAATATTATTAAATTTTAATATATAATATAGGAATATAAACTAATAATATTAACAATTAAATCAGGCAGAAAAATGAAAAATAGGAACAGGCAACTGAAACCCTAGGTTCAGACATCTGTGGACAGAAAAGGTATAATATTTTTGTTATTAATAATATATTTATTTAATTTGTTTGCTTAAAAAGTTACGTACTAAAATATTCGTGTTAGTTAATTTTTTTTTATTCAATAGTAATTTTTAAACGTTCACAACTACCAGCGTAAAATATGCGTGTGTGTATATATCTATATGTATATTTATGCAGCAGTATAATGGAAGAGTACCAGAAGTTGATGAAGGGACTAAGCCAGAAAATAATAAGGTTGATGCTTATGTCACTGGGCCTCACTAACCGTGATCTAAAGTGGTTCAAGCCCAAAACCAGATCCGCTCTTCAAGCTCAATCTGCCCTCCAACTCAACTCCTACCCGGTCTGTCCGGATCCGGATGAGGCCATGGGTCTGGCTCCGCACACCGACTCATCACTCCTCACTTTGCTCTACCAAGGCAACATCAACGGCCTCCAAGTTCTCAAGGAAAATCTCGGGTGGGTCCCGGTCGAACCCGTCTCCGATTCGCTCGTTGTTAACGTCGGCGACCTCATGCATATCACCACCAACGCCCTCTTCAAAAACGTCCTGCATCGTGCGGCCGTGAACAAGACACGTCACCGCATCTCGGTCGCCTACTTCTACAACCCGCCAAAGAACACGAAGATCTCACCGTTGACCAAGTTGACGGACGTTGACCATCCTCCACTTTATCGAGCGGTGACATGGGAGGAGTACCTGGACGCTAAAGCGACGCATTTTAACAAAGCCCTTGACTGGATCCGCTGCGAGGAACATACTGCAGCCAACAGATGTAAATAATTATATGTAAATGATGTAAATTTAACGAGGAAGTTTCAATATGTAATGGAAAATAAGGAGTAGTTGTTGAAATCTGAAAACTAAAAATTTTCTACTCACGTATTTGCATGCATGAAACAGTCAATGTAGTCTATGTAATTTACGGCTGATGGACTTAAACAATCATATTAATCGGCTTCGTTTTGCAAGCCTGTATATACAAATGTACACACGCACACATATGTATACATACACTTCTGGTTAATGAAATAGATCATTAATAACATAAAATATATTAAGTGCAGATACATAATAGTGTAATCTGTAGTTATAAGTTAATTTGTCAATAAAGATATCAGACTTACAATTAAAGGTTACGAGTAGCTGCTGAAGCTGATGCTTGCAGGCACAGTATACAACATCAGCACACACAGATGTGAGTGCACAAGCATATATGTATATGATTATCGTACCGTGTATATCTACATATAAACATGTACACATTCATAAGACAAGAAGGTGACATTGATATGCTTCCGGCCATTATTATTATTCTTTTTTGGGAAGGATGTGCTTCCGGCCTTGGTTAAATACTTTGGAACTTGGAAATATCATGTCGACATATATTACCATTTACATGGCAGAGTGCCCCTCCCGGCTCGAACTGGACACTAATATCCACCCCTACAAAAATTCTGAGGAATTCATCTTGGAACTTACAAATTACTATTAATTAATAGTTAAATTTCTTTCAACAAAAATGTCCTATTCAATGTTTAATTTAATAAATTATCTGCCATATCTTCAATATTATCTTGAAGAAATTGTGGAATTTCTCTGAAATTTTGGAAGTCTGATATTTTCTTGAAATCAAAAGATAATTTTAAACGTCAGAAGAGTTTGAAAATATTATACAGTTTTGAAGGGAATGTTATCTAAACTAAGCTATATATTTTACTTCAAAGAATGGAACTTCAAAATTTTAAATGTTATTATTTATACACATATATATTTTTAATTAATGAGTTATTTATTTAATATAAAAAACTTAATTGACTAGTATGTTGATAGAACTGCAAGTACCAAATTAAGTTAAATTTAAGTAAAAATTTATGTTTATGAACAAAAAAAATTATTGTAACTACTAAATTTTCTTAATTCGAATAGTTATAATAAGTTCAAATTTTCACATAATTTTTTTTACATATATAAAAATTAATGATTAAACAAATATATTACCAATCAAAGTAGTAAATTAGTAAACTAATTACTAGTTTGACTATTGTTTTGGTTATCAAACATGGGTTATTAAATATTAAGGGTGTAATTTTACTAAAAACATGGCCGAATACCACTTTTCATTAAATATTAAAGGTCTAATTTTATTTAAGTGAAGAACATGTTAAGTAATTTATATTAAGATAAAAATTGTAACTTTTTAATATTAATGTATCAAAAAGATGTTTAGTGATCATCATTATTGCTTTCTGAGTGATAAACTAATTATTAATTAAAAAGTAATGAGATATCTTTGTGTGACTATAACTTTATTAAAGTTATTTGGTACGATTATAACTTTATTTGTAAATATAAAAATATTATTAAAATAATTTTTTTTTAAAAAATAATATTATCATTAGATACTTATACTACTTTAACATGTATCATAAATCCTCACAAGAAAACATCACAAGAGAGCGTCACAACCCATTTATGAAAGCTAAAAGG